AATCTATATGGTGAAAGATAAAGAGATGTTTTAAGTAAATGATGACCAAATTTAATGGCGAAATTACATAAAAATCTTCATGGGTCTCTACGTAGCAGAAAAAACCGAACTAATAAGTAATGATGGCGAATTTAAAAATGTTTCTGCCACCCAATTGTACTCCACTTATCCAACCTATGGATCAAAATGTAATTAGTTTAACCAAAGTGTATTATCGGAAAAGTCTCTTAGAACACGTTCTCTCTATAGAGGAAGACGATATTTCCAAAACACTGAAGAACATTTCTATTAAGTATGATGTGTTCATGCTTGCTAATGCTTGGGGCAAGCTCGGCTAATAGAGAAATGTATATGGACAACCAGATGAGGAAGAGGACCCTGATGACGACGTCAATTCTAAAAAAATAAATGGATGCCGGTTCAAAAAACAGAGCAAGCTGACCAAGAATTAAAAGAAATCGGTATTATGCTCCAGCAAATAAATAGCAATTGATGTAACATTAGGTGGAAAGAAAAGCACAAAGACATTTCCATCGGCAAACCTTAGAATTGCTTCATTGGGGTGAGAGCGAGCATTGTCCAGAAGAAGAAGGCCCTTCTTCTTTGAGGTAACTTTTTCTACTTCAAATACGTCTTTACTTCGGGAATAAATTTCTTATGAAACCAATCTTGGAAGATGTCACAAATTATTCAAGCAGCTTGTTGGTTGTAAGAATGGACTGGGAGAGTGTGTGTATTCATATTTTTAAAAGCACGTGGATTTTTTCAATATCCTATTAGAGTCAGATGTTCACTTTTTTTCTATCCCGATGCACTTACATCATTACTTGCAGCCAACATTTTAGTAGGCATTGCCCAGTATAGCCCAGTTTCTTAATTATGTTCTCAAATTCATAAGAACTACCACTACCATCACTTCTCCAGAGCGATAAGCTTTTCGCCTTGAATAATTCGCTCACGAATCCCGTGACGTTTTTTAAATTGGTGCAACCAACCACTTGATTCATTAATTTTCAAATGACCGTGAAAATATTTTGCTTGTTTAGGACATATTGCGCCCGAAATAGATTCACCGTTCATTGATTTTCGTGCAGATATGTTTTTAAGGGTCAGACTGAGATATAAAATTTTGAAGTCATACTTTCTTTTTGATGATATCTCGTACTGTTTGTTTTCCGACTTCATAGATTCGTGATAATGATGCGACATTTTCATGTTTGTTTAAAATCTGTAGTTTTTGTTCTATCGTTAAAACATGTCGTTTACTGCTTTAATTAGTTGTTATTTTGAAAAGTGTAGAAGAATAAATGTAGGTTAGTACTGACAACTAGAGAACCCAACCGCATGCACCCATAAAAAAATGAGATGTATTGCGATACAGTGTGTATAGTAGTTTCCAATTTCCAGCGATCGATTAGAAGAGATAATAAAAAATTAATGAAAATTTTATGGCACGGATAATCCGCAGCCTGGATAATCCGCGCAAGGATAATCGGGGTTCTACGGTATTTAAATATGACTTCAATAATCCGCATGCTGCCATAATCTAAATTGAGCTGATTTTAATTGATTCGGATTAGCTCAGCTTTCCTGCTCTCCTCCAAACTATATCTCGATGATCTTGAGAGTACAAGCCGAACCTCAACTCGTCTCACGTTTCGCCACTCTGCATTGGTCCACTCAACATGATCTCGTGCAAATTGTAATCGAGCAACACGACGTTCTCGAAGCAACTGTGGTTCAGTTGTTGGTCTCTGTAATTTCAACCCCGCTTCTTCAAATCACCTTCTTACAGTGCGTTCACTCACTCATTCTCAACCTATACGCATAAACTTGAGGATTTGTTCCTCATGACAAATAATGAGTAATAGGTGAAAAAAATTGTAGCAAAAGCTTTTAGTTTCCTAGATATCCATGAAATTTACTTTCAAGTCAAGAATACATACAAGATTTTAAAATGACAATTGGGCTCACTGAATCGATGATGTCCCACTAGCGCGGCCTAAACCAGGGTGTTGGCGGATTGTCTCGGCAGCAGTTTGTATCTGATTTTGCACTCCTTGCTCAGTATTAACTTCCTCAGTATTCACTTCTACAGCTGCAATGTTAAATGCCTGCGTTTTACACTGTATGCCAGTGGTATCAGTTCTAAATAGATGAGATAGTTATGTATAAGATGATTTCTGGAAGCAAAAACTGTACGCTTTGGAGATGATATGATAGCGCGGCATAAACCTTCTTAAAAAGTATAGTGCCGGTGCTGGCACTATACTTTTTAAATGACCCCAAAAAGAAAAATCAAGAGGATTGAGGTTGGGCGATCGAGATGGCCCAAGTTTATGCGTATAAGTTGAGAATCATCCTGTGTAATATTATATACATACACTGTGTTAATTAATTATCGTACCCCATTGCAAGTATACAACCAATATCGCAAATCGCGTATTGTAATACCAATACTGTGATATTGGTTGCATACTTGTAACGATGAAGTCGGATATGATAATTAATTAACACACTGTATATGTGTCGTTCTGGTCCGAGATTTCATCCGCTCTTCCTGTTGGCTCCCTTTGGAAAGGGGTAGACGTTTTTCCAAGATCTCACCTGGCATCTTCTGTGCGTTGTAGTGTCTTATCGGCAGACTTATCCCATTTTTCAGTCTCTATTTTTCTCTTTCTTCTGTCACCAGTTTCCTTCTTCTCTTTTCAGTCTTTATTCAGAGTCCTTGTTTTATTTACTGTTTCCAATTTGGCTTTCTAGTTTCTGTTGAGTCTCTTTCCATTATTATTAGCACCATTCCACTCTTCTTACTCGCTGTCTAGTATCTTTTTTGTCTTTACAATCTCTTTCCAATCTCACTCCTCTTTGGCCACCCACCTTGCTATTTTTCCAGTCTCTATTGTTTCTCTTTCTTCTATCCAAAGTTTCTTTCTTCTCTTTTCAGTCTCTGTTCAATGTTTTTCTTTTATGTACTGTTTCCAATTTGTCTTTCTAGTTTCTATTGTGTCTTTTTCCATTATTACACCTCCTACTTGCTGCTTAGTATTTTTCTTGTCTTTACAATCTCGTTCCAATCTCGCTTCTCTTTGTTCAGCTGCCATCTATATTTTCAATCTCTGTTGTTTGTCTTTCTTCTATTACCAGTTCCCTTCTTCTCTTTTCAGTCTCTGTTCAGTGTCCTTCTTTTATTTACTGTTTCCAATTTGTCTTTCTAGTTTCTATTGAGTTTCTTTCCATTATTACTAGCATCCTTCCACTCACTGTCTAATATCTTTCTTGTCTTTACAATCTCCTTTTCCAGTCTCTATTGTTTCAATTTCTTCTATTACCAGTGTCGTTCATCTTTTTTCAATCTTAATTCACTGTCCTTGTTTTATCTATTGTCTGAAATTTGTCATTTTTGTCTCCCTTTGTTTATTACGGGTCTCCTTCCTGTCTTAATCTTCCCTGTCAAATGTAGTTCTTGCTTTTACAGGTTCGTTTCAGTCTCCCTCTTCTCTGCTCTCAGTCTTATCTTTCTCTTTCGAGTTTCTGTTCAACCTCATTATTTCTTTGCCATTTTCCTTCTGCCTGTCCATAGTTTGTCAGATTTTGCTTCCATAACCAGCTTATTTAAAGGTTTTGTCTCTTTAATCAACTATTTTGCTCGCCTTTTTTGTCTTTTTCAGTCTACTGAAGACATTTACTGAATATTACGTTCATATATTGCGAGTTATATGAAATTTCCGGTATATGATTAGATATTATATACAGTGTGTCCCAGGATAGATGTTGCAAGAGGTATAATGACTTAAAAATTTTTGAATTTTATTTTAAGCTTGAGGAATTAAGCCCTGCTTGGTGTAAAAAGAATTTTAAGAATATTTTCATATTTTGAAAACAAAGTCGGCTTTGACAGTAAATCAAAAACTATATTTAGTTTAGGTAAAGTAACCTTTTTGTTCATGATACGGAAACATTTTATTAAAAAAAGTTGTTCAAAATGAGAAATTATGGACCTATACAAAATTTCAAGCAGAGCTTAATTCCCTTAAATAATCCTTAAAACAAAATTCAAAAATGTTTAGGTCATTACACCTGTTTTAACATCTATTCTGGGACATACTGTATATGTATATAATATCTGATCATCACGGGGTTGTGTGGTGCGTCTTCTTCCTGATCCAGTTCGTCTGATGAAGGTGTCAGTCTCTGAACCGTACTCTGTATTGCGCCAAGAATATAAGCAGCATAAAGAGTGCTGCGTCCATTTTCCACCAAAGCCACTGCCTGAGCAAAATCTGCAAGACTTAAAGCCATTTTTCTTGTCCAGCAACAACAACAACGACATTACCGTAAATCTTTGCAAATGTTTTCGTCAACTTCCATTAATGGCTTGCATTAATTTCTGATGGCGCTGCGTTATCCTTCCGAGGTTGTAACTTTGGTGTTAACAACAATTAAAACTTGAACAAAAAAGAAAAGTGGTCAGAACAGACGAAACTACAAGCCCCTTATGTTTAAGATTCATTTCTTTTGTAGGTGCACCTCACAGCTAGCTTCAAAATGGAGGAAGAAATATTGGCAAAAGTTTTTGCAGTTTGAAATTGGTCATTATTTTGCCGCCGAATGTATGAATGCAAGATTTCATCAGAAGTAGGGTTATAAACTAAATTTTAATCGGTTGCCCAAGAAATAAATTTTATTATTCTAAAAAAAATTGTCTTGGAATACCTAGGATTATGTTAGTACAAAGGATGGTAACTGTAGGCCTTCCAAGTTCATGCCTCCAGTTCATCGCCAAGAATGTTAATTTAGAATTGAGCATATCACAAAGAAGAGAAGTATCAAAACTTGTGTAATAGCGATCTGCATCAAAATTCTAAAGGGATACAGATTTAAGAATTTAAGAAAAAAAGACATTTATAGGAAATAAATTAAAATGGAATAACAAAATTGAATATAAAGTTTCGTTATAAAAATAATACCTAATTGAACGCTTTTAATGGTGAGAATTACGATTGGTCGACCCAACATGTTTTGCCAGCTAGATTTTAAAAAATTAATTTCACTCTTGCAAATATCAATCATTAATTCGTAATCGGTTGCTATATAATTTCTGGACATATCAGTAAACTAGGTTAAAATAAAAATCATAAGTAAACATTAAACAAAAAAATAAAGTAATAAAAATAATAAAAATTAGTGGTGTCATTTCACCTGTGGTGTAAAAGCAAAAATTCTATCGCCCATTGTATACAATTTACTAGTACTTAAGATTCCAACATCTCTAGATTTTCTCCCAGATAATCCCAACTTTTTATTACGACCTATAAAACAAAATAAACAGTAAATGCAATTATTTTTATCTCAGACACAAAAATAAACAACCTAAATAAGTGTAAAGATGCGATAAAACCCGCGCTGGTTGAACCTCAACTGGCGAAACATCCGCTATTGTTTGAACTACAATATCATGCTCAGCTAATTTATCTCTAATCGCGTTATCTTCAGCTAAAATCACTATTTGGACTACCACATCAGGTTTTTTTTCAAAACATAATCTTCTATTGAGAGGATCTAATTCCCCAGTTGCTAAAAATCCTTCTTCTAACAGTTTTCCAAGGATATATAGCGATTGCCCCCATAAAAATGGACAATGACCTAATGGAATTCGATCCTGAGTTCCAGGTTCTCTATATTCAGCATCAACAAATTCAGATGGGACGGCGTAAAGCTCAGGAATAAGTTTCATGCCATCATCAGTACGAATCATAATCTATTTATAAAAAGAAATTAATCAAAAGAATTCAAATATTAATATAAAAACCTCTTCAAGTCTTTCTGTATATTCAACAGCTGCTTCTTTATTCCCTTGAAATATATAATCAATAACTAAGTAGCAAAAAAATAAAGGCCATTCACACTCAATGTGTTCAAACATTCTTAATTCCCATGGTTCATAATATAAACGATTAGAATCCTTAAAAAGTTAATTTAAACACAATTACTTTTTTATTTTAAATAATTACTTCTCTAGCTGTTTTATAACCATCTCTAAGAAACCTTTTACATCCATATCTCCCCTGTAATTTTCTCACAATTGTGTCTCTAGTAAATTGTATTAATTCAGGGTCTTCAACGGCAAAAGCAGGAAAAGTAATAACAGAAAGAATCCCACTATCTACTTCTTTTGAACTTGATTCTCTTGGAAGCATGGATTGTAAAACTGCTTGACATTTTTGAGCTTCATCTGCTAAGATATGAATAACACTGTAAGGTCCACCTCTAGCACCAAATAAATCTAATTCGTTTAAAGCTTCTAAAGCAGCTTTTGCCATCCCAATAGAGCTTGCATTTAATTCTGGTAATCCATGATTACTTTTATCACCTCTTTCCCATATACCATAATCAGGTGTACAATAAGCACATTCAATATAAAATACTAAATTTTGAATAAAACACACTTCATCTAAATTAAAAACTATTTGTAAACCAGATGCGGTCATTTGAGCTAATATTAATAAATACAAAGCTACGGCATCAATTTGTAGGTGGCCCCATTCGGTATCTCCAACAACCGTTTGACCATTATATGAGGAATATTTTGCGTGGAGCGAATCTAAAGGATTTTGGGTAATTTTAAACTTTTCTACCTTATCCTTTTGTTGCATCATTGCCATTAAAAGCCCCCTCATTAATTTCACACAACTTTGTTCCAATTCATAAGTTTTCGCTCGATCTTCATCTTGATCAGCCATTTTTTTATAAGCCATCGATAAGCCCCACACGCCCAAAATTGAATAGACATTGTCCCTAATCCAAGCATGGGGATTCTCGTGGCTTGCCGGAAACAATCCTGTTACAGGATTTTGATACGAAATAATCGTTTTATGAACGATTCGATGTATTAAATCTAAACGAACACCCGAGTTACTTCTACTTCGCATTGTTTCTTTTTAATAAGTTACTTTTTTAATAAATTTCACATAAACAAATTATGACCTTCCAATGTCAAAGTAACCATGTGTTTGGATTTTTGTGTCAAGTTGGTTGCCTATGCTTAAAGGAATTTTGGTTTAAATTTATTTATTTTTAATTATTTATACAATTTTATATAATTTATATAATACTTAAACAATCGTATGTTTAAAATAAATAAAAAATTTGTAAAACAGATTCTTAGTTTTTTTGGGGATTATCTTGTTTTGGGGAATTTGTAAGAAAAGTTGCCTATGTAAATTTTAAATGTTTTTTAATTTAATTTAATCACAAAAATTGTTTTTAAATAATTTTAAATTTAACCCGAAATTATTATAATGATAGATTTAAGTTAATTCTGACAAGATTAGTTTAAAAATAAAGTTTAAGAGAATTTGGAACTGAACTTTATTAGGATTTTATAGATTCCTACGCTTCATTCTTTTGTTTAAATTGTATTTAACGTCAAATTTTTTGAAGTTTGGTTATGTTTCTTTAATAATTTAAATTGCAAAGTATTAACTTAATTTATATATTATTTTCTTATAAATAACAGCCTAAAATCCTGTTTGTAAGATATTTATTACATAATTGCATTTATTTAGCATTAAAATTTTGTTTTTTAGAAGGTTTGAGAAAAACCCAAATTGGACGCGGCAAGTAGAGCATCAAAATCGCTAGAGTTTGAACGTATTTTGCCGAATCGTGGATAAAAACTTATAGAACATAAACTGCTCTTTGAAATAAGACCAAAAATATTCAAATCGGTGGAATAGCCCTACTGGCATATTTATTGGTTAAAATTGCTTATAACCTCACAAAATGTAACGTCACATCGAAACTTTAAAGTGATTTTTCGGTAAGTTCTACATTTTTCCGCACTTTCTTTTATTATTAACGCCTTTTTTGAGTCATTTCCTATCGATTAAAAAAAAATTATCGATTTTTAGGCCACAATGCTATTCTTGAATTATTCCCATTTTCAGTTGGGACACCCTAAAGGCAATTTAGGCCTACACATGTAACTCTGCACTGATCAAGGAGTGTAAAAGCTGGCCAAAGAGGCAGCAAAAACACCCTTTATTGAACCCCAACCCGGCTGTGGACTACAAAAAAGCCATTACAAACAGGAAATCTATAGTTGAGAGGGCTCAAAGGTGTTCTTAACCTACAAAAGGCTAGGACATACACTCTCAGATGGTGTTTATGTTAGCACAATGATGATGGTTAGATTGAGGAGGATATCTTATCTTAACTTGTACCTAAATTACATATTGTACTATATTACATCTTCTTCTTAGTTTAGGGACATGCCAGTAATATTTCTGCCAGTCCCAAGCCTGGTAAAATGCGAGGTGAAGGTGGCCGGCATTGCGAAATAACGTTAAAAACTGAAAAATCGGGAATATCTCCAAAACCGTTGAAAGTAGACACCAGGATATCTGTATAAAACTGAAAGGAAATTAAATTTTACATCCAGTTATGCAAAAACTGGTATATTGTTCCATTTAGAAAAATTAAGTTATCCATGATTAAAAAGTTCGAAAATTACAGATTCCTACTTAAGAACTCCGTAATATAAATGCATAATTTTCTATTGGTAAAGGTGTGCTCTTTTATTGTTAATCCAAAACAGAAAACCAAATCTTTCTAGCTTTCACAGTTTCGGAAATATAACCAAATTTATAAGACGCTGCAAATGTCATTTTTATCGAAAATCGTCATATAATTCAAAAACGATACCAGTTAGACCTAAACTATCCTTAACAAAGTACCATTAAAATTTCACAAAGAATCCAAAAATGCAATAATATACAGGTGTTCCATTTAAAATAACAAAATTAATATCCATTTCCGGTAGAAGCGGAAGTCCGGCATTACTGAAACTAATTTTAAAATATGTACAATATGATTCGATTCAACTTTTATCTGAAACATTTTTTGAAAAACTCAATCATAATTCGGCTATGGACCGAGGCAACTTAGGTTGGACACCTGTATATGCCCTAAACCTTTGGAGAGATTAAGTTACAATAGATCTTATAGGTCGCGCTGGCGTGAGGGGGCCGCTTTCCTTAGCCCTGCAGCAATAATAATAATAATGGACCAAAAAATATTAAAATATAAATATTTGAAAACACACTCCTTTATTATCACAGATATGAGAAATGTGGCAAAGCAAAAAGATGAGGTGTTATCTAAGCTCTCTAAGTTTTCGCGATAGTGAGAATTTTATGTTTCTTTATGGCAGTTATGCTCCTTATATCTTATTTTACATATATTTCTTTTGCTCACTTTGCTGTTAAAGATTTTTTTTCCTAAATCTTTAGGAAAAACCTGGGTTACAATATAATCTAGTATTGAAGGGTAATAATCAATAAGATATTAATTAAAAGAAAAAATATAGTTTCAAAATGATTTATTTTGTAATACACAAAAAAGTATGTATAATAAAGTGTATTACACCTTATGATAAAGATTGAAACTTGAGCTATTGCATTGCTTAGTTAGGACATTTAACATTGGCAAGAACTAAACGCACTATTTGGCAGTGTAAAAAAAAATAACGGTGTGAGGTCAAAAATAATAATAATAATAATAAAAGGGGTGCGGGAAAATTGGTAATTATTGAACAATGGTTTAGTTATTGCAAATGAAAATGTACAAAAAAATGTGAGTGTAAACAAAAAAAAAAATTAAAACTGTTTGATGAGGTAATGGTAATAATTATGTATGATCCTGTTATTGTCATGAAAATAATCAACAGTGAGATGGCAGTGCGTACAGTTCAGTAAACAAGTAAAATATACAATATACACAAATATAAAAAAAGGCGTCGGTTACAACAACATCTGGATATAACAATATATGCATTAACAAATATAAGGGTTTCTGCAATTTGGAAATTGTTCAGATTGCAGTAATAGTATTTAGTGAAAAATATTTTGGTGATATACGTACATATACATTTTATAAAAATTTATAATTAACTAAATATATACAAATCACAATAGGAAAGTATCAACTAAATATTCCAAATAGGGATCTATTTTATTTTATTTTTTTTTAATATTTTTAATAAACTTCCTTAAATTTTCGTTTTATGGAAGACACTAGTAATTGTAGTATTCAGTCAAATGCGACACAGTCTTTGCGATTTTTGTGTAGAAAATGAAATTAATAAAACCTACACAAGACCTACTTATTTTTCTTAGGAACAAAAGACTTGACTAACACGAATCGTCTTCCTTCGAGGAAAAATATCGAACCGCGACTATATAATCTATAACGTGTGTTTATATATAATATTTATATATCTATTTACAATTTTTGCGTTTTTTTTATTATGTACAACTTAATTTAAAATATAATTAAAAAAAAATGGAGTGCTCGCGACGAATTAAACCCACACAAAAAATACTACACAACAAAGCATTTGCACGTCTTAAATTATTTAAAAAAAAACACTTCGGTCCACATTTTTCTTTTTAATTCTTCAATATTACTTAAAGCGTAACTTATTGCCTTCCCCCGTTTGCTAAGTGCACGTCATCAACTTCGGATTCGTACTCCCCGCCAATTTGTACAACAACAATGTACACATCACTTTCTTCCGCCCCATAGGCAAAATTATGACCAGACAAAAAGTCACATATAACCTTCATAATCCAAATGGACGTCGTGAACGTCTGTTGGGGTTGTCGCCGTTTCAACGCACCCCAATTTACCCACTGTTGGTGTCACATTTTCCGCACGTTTATCGAATTCATCATAGTTTTTTCCACTTTCTCCTGATTGATTCATTGCACGTTCTAACATTTCCTCAACGCGTTTGTACCACACTAAAAGGCAATCCTAAAAAATAAATAAAATTTGTATTGATAATGATTTAGGAGAAAGAAAAAAATATTTCAAGGTTGTATCAGAAATTACTAGGCAGTTAACGTTTCGATCAATTATATAGGAAGCTATAAACATGTTTTTGCGATTAAATTTTCTCTCGTACTCACCGCATCGATTCCTAGTAATTTGTTGACTACATCGCATAGAAATCCCAATGTCTTTCCGCTTTTCTCCGTCCATTGAACGCCGTGCAAAGCGGAAATAAGACAAGCTGCTGCTGTTAAACTAGGCGGGCAATTCCAAAACGTTGGTTCTAGAAATAAATTTTAATCGTTACTTTGGCAAAAAAATTAATGGTTAAATTGAGGTTTAGAATGAAGTTGTGGCGAAATGTTTCAAGTAGAAACATAATGATGAGATTTGGGTCTTTTAGATATGAAAGAAGATCTCAGAAACTGAGATTCCGGTCGGAGAGGCCGGTTTTTCTGCGAAACGATTTAAATAAAATGGGAGCACGTTTGACCGCATTGCAGAGAAGAGGAGACTGACTTTCGATCTTAATCCTGCGCCCCACCGAGTTGCAGGTTATGGCTTCTCAAAAAATCTCAACCCCGTTTTCCATATGGCGTATATATTTCTTAATTGCCGATACGATCTTATGATCAAGCAGATAATTTGGCGAATATTTGCGGACGTTATTCGCTTTGGCCATGCGATCCGTCTGGAATCTGCATAGTAGGCGCTGAGGCGGCGGGACGCACTCTCGATTCTCACGGTGCGCGTTGTTTATTTGCCTGGCCCTTCAATGTTGCTGCTTTTGCTGCTCCTCGCCGGCGCCGATCCCGCCTCGGGTCTCGTCTCCTCTTTTCTCTTTCTCATCGGGACGCCCACGCCGAAAAATCCCATCGAAGATGTCTTTACGACCGGAAGTTCAAAATAATTTGGTCTTACAAATTCGAGTTAAACTTATTTCGAAACGCTTTTAATTAAGAGTTACATCCTTAGAAACGGCCCCATTTATAAATAGATTTTGACATTCAACTAATCAGGATTAAACTCGGCTATCTGGTTTTTGTAAAAAAGAATGCGTGCAGGTCGAGATAATTTTTTGCTTATTAACGATTTTGGTGACCCATTTATTTTATTTTAATTAAATCTTTCCGTCAAACTTACCATACATGCAATAAGCTATTAATGTTTTAGCGTGGTCATCAACCATCGATTCCCGGATGCCGATGCTTTCCGTCGGGACGCGCTGCATAATATGCTGGAGGAAGTCGAGCGGCGTCACGACGGCTATTTCCCACTTGAGCTGGCTAAGTATCAGTTCCTCCCACATCTGAAACAAGAGATGAAGAAGCGAATGAGAAACGCAGTCGTATATAAGAAGTAAGAAGTGCTTCGTTCGTTCGCGAGGGAGAGACGAACAGAGAACGGAATGTCCATTAGCAACAGCGGTCGGCAACAAGAAAATACCTGTCGCTACAGCGGCGGCCATCGGCAGACCCAGACGATTGTACAAATCAAATTAGCGAAATAAAACGGTTGGTTCAGTCGTTCGTTCAATGCTTCAACCGAGTAACCGCCCCCTAACTATGTGCAACGATCGTCTCTTTAGCAACTCACGCTTATTTTACTCATTATCTTCTTCTGAACACGCTAAAGAAGATAATAGCTTATTTTAGAAGACTCGTTTCGCCATATAAAATAAATCATAAAATCACCCAACGACTTATACGGAACATCAAATCAACGTTAATTTTAAAATCTAGAACAATTTTACAATCAAAAAATTTCTCGTTAAGCCAAGCATCGATTAGATATCGCATATTTCCGTTGAAATATTCCAATAATAAAACGTTGGTGTTGATTTAATTCCGAAAGAAAAAAAGTTTAATACATAATATGTTGAAGTCAACGTCGACCGGATGCGTCGCCGCGATATGAACCCGTATCCGCCATGGAATTTTGAATGAACGTGTTTATGTTTTCGCGAAGACAAGATAACCGTACAGCTGATCAACACAGTGACCTATGTACGAAGATAGCGTTCGTGTGCCCCCCCAAGTCCCTCTCCGCATTGTTTTCTGAAATCAGCTGTTACGGCGCTAACGTTCAGTCTGAACAACATTAAAGTGAAATAAAAAAAAAATCATGATGAGTAGAAGAAGATGAAAAGACAAAGATGAAAAGAGAAAGATAAAAAGTAAGAGGAGGAAAAGAAATCTCACCAAAAATTGAACGAACGCCGAAAGGCAAAGAAGAAGAAGAAAGAGGAGGAGAAGACTTGTCGAGGCGATTTCTCTTCGCCTCCCACCAAGAGTACCTGAGTTGTTCCTTGGGATTTTAAGGGGACGGGGGTTTGGAAGAATTCCCGGAAAGAGACCTGCCACGATAGCGGGCCCCTCTTGGCCTCTCCGTCGGTTGCACAAAAGGACCAGAAAGACGTCGATCGCGCCGTCCTCAGGGTCACCAGTCTCTTTTCCCACACTGCCTTATCAATCCCGAGCCGAAAGTGTCCGTTTAATTACTACAATTTCCCCCCACCCAATCACCAGTCAAATGTCTCTTTGCGATTCCGACTAATACATGTAAATCCCCTACTTAGTTGCAGTCATTCATGCAAATTTATGAATGATGTTTCATTTCGAATTCCATGCGAGTTAAGGATTACTCTCCATAAAGTTTAAACCAGATGATTTTTAAACAAGATGATTTTAACCAAACGACGATTTGTCTTCTTGCATTAGAATAAATCATCATAATTTAATTTCAAATCAGAATTTCTAACCGGTTAAATAAATGAAGACAGGAAATATAACTAATCCACCCAAATTGACGGAGTTGTTTTCCCTTTAGTATGCAAGATATGCGATTTAAGGGGTCTTTTTACCAAATTCCCACGCGAGGGGACACTATCTAACTATTTAAAAATGGAAAGTTTTTGTATATTCATAAAAAAAAAACAGCTGTTTGTAATTCATTTAAAACTTGAAGTATTTGAGTCAGTATGATACAAAAACAACGGATGAGAAATCTAATTCGCGGAATGGAGCGAAATCATGAAAAAAATTCGTGTTTTACGAAACACGCAGATAAGAACGCTTTATCAAGGATATTAATAAAAACTAAACCGAATAAAACGTGAAGTGGTAACTTTTTGGTTTTATGATAATTTGTTTAAAACCATGACAGAATTTTAAAAAATGATAAAACCCAAAAATCTGATTAGAAATACATGAACTACGCAAACTGGACCAAGTTAAAACTCCAGAAATAAATAAAATAACAAAATATGAAGAATTAAGCTTTGAAAATACTTTGCAATGTATCGCAGTTAGTGTCGATATTATTCGTTAATCTGTTTACGTTTCGAAAACAAAATTAATCATACAAAGAGAGGCCAAATCATCTTATTGCTCATAGTCAAGTTAAACCATTTCTAAAATGCGTGAACCAATAACAAATACATGATTTTTTTGGTTGGCAGAAAATATAGAAAATTTATATTAAGAAATAGAAACATATTTCTTTCGTTATGCAGGAATTAATTGTCAAATAATTTACAGAAAAGGATAGTATCGAAATGGTGAGAAGACTATTTCTGAAAAGCTTGATAACTCAATTTTAAACAAGTTCTGAATTACTATCCAAAAGAGGAAACTAAATCAACAAGGTAGGAGTTCCTCGTTCCAAAGATAAAATGACCAAATACATTTCTGAAGTATGTGATGAATATGTGTTTCTATGAATTACCAGGAATATCCTGGAATTTCTAGATATTTCTAGAATATTAAGATTTATAAGGATTTCAAGGTTATTAAGCCACTTTCCAAATTGTTCCAATGATTTCTAATAATATTCTGGAATTTCTAAGAATCTCCACCAATTTCTATGCATTTTCAACAATTATAATAATTTTTTGGAGATTTTCAAAACCAACCTTGGATTTTAAATAAATTTTTAAAGATTTCTGAATATTTTCAGAGATTTCTAATAACATTCTGAAATTTCTAAGAATTTTCAGTGATTTCTTAGATTTTCAAAATTTCCAATAGATTGCAAAGGTTTTCAAACAATATTTTGGAATTAATAAAAATGTCCAGTTATTTCTAGAGGATTTTCTAAGATTTTCTAACAATATTTTTGAAGTTCCACTAATTCCGAGAGAATTTCGAGGAAATTTCCAAAACTTTCCAAGATATTACCAAGGATTTCATGTAATTCAAAAAGGTTTCAAAGATTTTTAGAAAATTATTAAAAGTTTCCAGAAAATTTGTAAGGATTTACAGAAAATTGCCAAAGATTTTTCAAGGATATCTAAAGTTACAAAGTTACTTAGGGATTTAAGTACGATGGCTTTCACGGCCGGTGTTAATTAACTTCAAAAACATTTCGAACTTGTTTCTGAAGAAGAGTATAACATAGCATCCGAAACGTCAACAATTTTTCAAAAGAAGCACGGCTTAACCCAAAAGTTTCTAGGTCTAGTGTTAGTTCTAGTGATAGTGCTACTATTAGTTCTAGTTTTAGTTTAATTACTTAGGAATTTTGAATAAACAGCAAGAGATTTATATGAACGTTCGGAAATTTTCAAATATGTACAATTAATTTGTGCGATATCCAAAGAACTTATTATTTTGAACAAATTAAAGGAGTTATATACTTAAATGATTTTCATGGTCTTCCAAAGAGTTTACAAGGATTTCCATAAAATATTTAAGGATTTTCAGAAAATTTTAAGAATTTGCAGAAATCTTTTACAGGTTATCAACCATAACCGATTATTTCGAATAAATTTCAAGAAATTTCCAAAGTTATACAAGAATTTACAACGATTACTAAAGAACTTACAAAAACTTCTGAAATTTCCAATTATTTCCAAGGTTATCCTATTATTTTCAACAATTTAATATAATATTTGGGGTTTTTGATGGTATTCCAAAGAGTTTTTATGTATCTACAGAATTNGAATTTACAAAAATTTCTGGAATTTCCAATAATTTAATGGAGTTATGAGAATATTTAGGGTTTTCAATGGTATTCCAAAGAGTTTTTATGGATCTACGGAATTCCTAAGGATTTCCATAGAACTTTAAGAAGTTGCACAAAACTTTTACAGATTGTCAAAGATAACCAATTATTTCGAATAAATTTCATGGAATTTTCAAGGTTATACAAGGATTTACAACGATTACTAAAGAACTAACAAATATTTCTGGAATTTTCAATAATTTAAGGGAGTTATGAAAATATTTAGGGTTTTCGATGGTATTCCAAAGAGTTTTTATGGATCTACGGAATTGCTAAAGATTTCTTTAGGAGTTTAAGAAGTTGCAGAAAACTTTTACAGATTGTCATAGATAACCAATTATTTCGAATGAATTTCATGGAATTTTCAAGGTTATACAACGATTTACAACGATTACTAAAGAACTTACAAAAATTTCTGGAATTTCCAATAATTTAATGGAGTTATGAGAATATTTGGGGTTTTTGATAGTATTCTGTTTTTATGGATCTACGGAATTGCTAAGGATTTCCATAAAGCTTTAAGAAGTTGCAGAAAACTTATACAGATTGTCAAAGATAACCAATTATTTCGAATAAATTTCATAGAATTTTCAAAGTTATACAAGGATTTACAACGATTACTAAAAAATTTACAAAAATTTCTGGCATTTCCAATAATTTAATGGAGTTATGACAATATTTGGGGTTTCCGATGGTATTCCAAAGAGTTTTTATGAATCTACGGAATTGCTAAGGATTTCCAGAGAATTTTTAAAGATTTCCAAGGCGTCCAATTATTTTGAGTTAATTTAAAGCTGTTATAAGATTATTTAGGAACACTCCAAACAGGTGTCAATGATTTCTAGAAAATTCCAAGGACTTTCAGAGAATTTTTAAACATTTCCAAAGAATTCACCGAAAATGACATGGTAATTCAGATATTACGAACAATTTTAAATGAATTTTAAGATTATGTAATAATTCTCATTATTTTTAAGGCTTTGTTACAATTTTCTTGAATCTTTAGGGATTGCTAAGATATGCCAAAGGATTTTCCAAGAATTTTGACAGATATTTAAATAGATTATTTTCATCACTTACAACAGAATTAAGAATTTATACAATATTATAATTGTCAAGACATTTAATGACATTTCCATGGAAATTCAGGGATATATAATAATTTCGAAGAATTTACGAGGATTCCTTACCATTTGGAAATAAATCTAGAAGATATTTACTATCAAACGATTTTTTTAGCGAAGTTCAAAAATTTGTAAAGATTTTCAAGAATTTTTAATAATTATCCGCAATATGCAGCGATTTATACGAATTTCCAATAATTTCTACGGGTTTCCACTAAGTTCTAGGATATTTATGGAGGTGTTTTTAACTGTTATCAATGACCTTTTAGACTCTCTCGGAATATCTGACGGCTTTCTAAGATATCCAAGGATTCCAATAACATGTAAGATTTTCCAAACAATTCTTAATAATTTAAACGTTTACTTAATGAATTTTCAGGGATTTAAATTTTGAAGTATTATTAAAGGATATTCCAAGGATTAACAAGTCCGCCCACTAAAAGTGAACCATATCGATTCGGAATAATAATCGTAATGGTTTAGTATAAATGGAATGATGTAAGAAAAAAAGTTATTTAAAGAACTTACCAATAATTCTTCTATGGTAATACTGTTGTCGGTATACGATCTAAGTAACTGTGCACTCATCGGGTTCGCCTCTCGAAGTTTTGAAGCGATGAACATACAAGCGGTGCCCAACAATTGTAGTTGGGTCTTCCGCACGGTTCTCATCGAAAGGTATCTGTTCATATAATTAACTGCTAAGAGGAACACTTCATCTTGTCGCTTTTGTTCCTCGGTCACCTGTAACAAGAAAAGGTTCTTATTGAAACGGGAGATTTAAATGTCCGGTAGTTTGGAAAGAAAAAGCGAACGAGTGAGAAAGAGAGGACGATTGAAAAAAAAAAGCAGCCAATTAGTTCAGGCAGGTGCGAGCTATTTAAAAATTAAATGTCCACGTAGCGAGTTGAACGTGGAATCGCGGTAACGACGGCGCCCACATAAGAGTAGCCGGGAAATCGGAGGATTTCTGGAAACGTTAGATGGCTGGCTCAGGCCGACTCAAGGACAAGGGGCGATGACTTTTTTCGGGGGGCACCGTGTGGGGATTCGCTCCTCGATATACCGAAATACGAAACGTCTCCTTACGTCTTTCATCCATTCGATGACGATTCGACGCATCTCCGGGGTAACTTCACCTCGAACATCACAGACCACGTTGAAACTGTAGCGCTCCTCCGATTTAACTAAGTTCGTGAGCACCCTTCCGTCGCCGTATAGAGTCCGATCCCTGTAGGCCCTGGTTTCGTCGATGTTCTCACAGCATGTTAGTTCCATCATACGTCAAATAAAAAATAACCGAAACCGAAAAACGCAAATCAAAAACAAAAACTCGTCAAGTAGTGTTTATCTGTTTAGTTTATTTTTAAATGGGCAAAGGGATCGTTGTCTATGTAAAAGTTAATTCTTTGGGATGCACGTGTCGGGCCGATGTCGGCGCGCAACTGAGCCTCGTTTAAATCCCTCGTTACTTTCGAAAACCCATCGGACCCAAGTCCCCGAAGATGGAGTGGGGACGTTATGCGCATCGCGGCGCATAGATTGTATATGTACAATCATATACCATGTATGTACCTCAATGAGAATGCGTACACCCCAACGACTCTCAACGTTGATTTTTGCAAAACCTAAAAATAATATTAACTTTTCCACAACTTTTTTGTTTAAACGAGAACGGATGTAAAAGTTAATTTCGACAGTTTTCGGATTGTCCTTGTGTTTGATACACCGAAAGAAGGAGGCCTGGTTAGAGCGGGCCATTTAAATTTTAAAACTCTACCACGAAACGTAGCGAGCGTAACGGCGCCGGCAGTTATGCATAAACGGAAATTGTGTTCACGCAGCCATTCTTGTTGCCGGCATAATACCTGGTGTAGTCTTCCAGGAAATTGAATATTAATAGGTTGCTTGCTGGAAATTCCATTGTGGACGCAGCAGAATGTTCATTCCTCTTTTCGTCAATCACAAACTGTTAAATGAAACTATGCGTAATATAAAGACCATGACTGTGTTATTAAAAAAACATTACTATATATATTACAAAACACCACTTTTAAGTTTTAATGCGATTTTGATATTACGTAATTTTTTCAATATTCACTTCTATTTAAAAAAAGTTTTACTGCATTCGCATTTTTTTTAATCTTAATTACGACAACCAATTCCGAGGAATTTATCTATTCAAATTAAGCCATTTACTGCAATTTCAAAAATTGTGAAATTTTTATGTTAATATTAAGTCATTATTCTATTTTTAAAACTAATTCTAATTTTTTTTACATAATTAATAAATTTATTTTACAAAACGATTTTTTAAACCAATCAACATGCCGTAGAAATGATTGATTTGAAACACCACGTCGAGCAAAAAATAAATTTGTCCAGACCCCAAATGATTGATATACTCAGTCGAAGTTGCAAGATGATGTGGCTTAACATACAAACAACACTTTTAACATTTATGAGTTTTATAGGTATTATTTTGAAGATTAGAAGCATGATGTTATTTGAGCATGATTCAAAAACATTCTAAACATCCTCCAATATCATTCATGGCATGCCATGATATCTTCTAATACGCTAAGTGCCTCTCATTTATCTATCAACATAATCCTTGATATCGTTACACACAGTGTTGTTAAATAAATTTCCTGTATACATATATACCCGGGGGTATGTACCCAAGAAGGGTATTTAGAGGTATTTATAAAATTTAATTTAAATTGAGTTGATGACAGTTTTGCAAGCACTTCAAGAATGCAGAGTCGATTATTGATATACCAAACAAAGTACTGAAAAGAGTAGAAGTAGTAAAGTACTGATTGTGAGTAATACACTGTTGAACCCAAATTGTTAATCACAGTCCTAGAGAGTGCATTTAAATAATTGGATTGCCTAAGTAATTTACGTTACAACGGTATGGGAAGGTAGCATTTGTTGCAGACTTATTGACGAATCGAACTATAAATTCAGCATGAATTACTGGCAGTCAACCTGTTAATAACATGACATCTTTCAATACTATATAGGCTGTCTTTAACACTTTTTGCATCATCTATTAACATCATCCCTTTTATCTTTTAACATACATCCGGATATCCCCAACGACGTCTACATTCAACCTCAACATCCTTCTAGTCATCTATCAATATCGTTGTTGACGCACACCATCAAATCTAATGTCTTTCAATGTCTGAACGTTTTGACCAAAACAACAATTATTAGATTGGGTATTATCCAACCTCATCACCTAGCTCTTCAGTGTCCGTGAAATCCAACATCATTCCTAATATCTTCCAAGATCGTTTCTGATATCTTGCAACATCGTAAATAACGATCCACGATCTTGGTTATGATTTTACAAAACATCGGAGAATAAGATTGGTGTGGATAAAGTTCTTCGTGGCCTTGGATCCATCTTTTTAAGCTTTCCCTCTCCCCAGCAAGACTCTTGAGTTGTTGTATATTTTTTGATGGTTGGGTTCCGGTCCATCGTCTTGATTCTGAATCATTAAATACACTGTGCAGGTGATTAGCCTAACGACAGCGGACGATGGTTTCCCTTCAATCCTCCGCCATGGTTACATAGGCATTTTCTCCAATTCCAAACAATTATAGTTTTTCTGCCAACACTCGGGTGGTTAATTGCAACGGTTTCCTACAGGGCGGTGGGGTCGCCACATCCCTATGCCACGTAGACAAGGTTCAGAAGCCTAAAACACATATTATAGAGAAAGAACAACAAATTGAAAGCTTATCTTGATATATAGCGTAGCACATCATAGCACTCGTCAAGAAATCTATGTGCAAGATACAAGCTACCCAACGGAACCATGTGGAACCATATGGAACGAGTCATATTAAACAGACGAATAAATGATAAAAAATCAAGAATGGATAAGAAAGCGCCATACAATATTGAAAGCAAAATTGCGACGAGTGGATCACATCGCTAGGACGTCCCATTTTGTGTTGGTAAGACAATGTTAGAAAACACCTAGCAAGAACATGGATAACTCAGCGGAAAACAGAAAAAAGTGGAAAATATGGAATGGATGAGAAATGCTGAATAGAGAGAAAGATCTCGCTTAGATTAAGATCAACTGAAAAGTGGTTACTCTTGTGCCGTTATGACACGTATGGTAAAGACACGTACCATCATTTATAACAAGCTCGGCCATGAACCTTAGAAACTCAAAGTTGATAGATATTTACCGTACGTTTCTCAACCCGAATGATTCTAGTTCTAGGTTTTGTGTTAATTCTAGTGATATTGCTAGTGCAAAACTAGAACTAACACTAGACCATGAACTAGAAACATTCGGATTTAGCCGCACGTCTCTCAAGACGGCTAAACCCGAATGATTCTAGTTCTAGGTTTTGTGTTAGTTCTAGTGATAGTGTTGGTGTAAAGCTAGAACTAACACTAGAACTAGAAACATTCGGATTTAGCCGCACGTCTCTCAAGCCGGCTAAACCCAAATGATTCTAGTTCTAGGTCTTGTGCAATTCTAGTGATATTGCTAGTGCAAAACTAGAACTAACACTAGATCGAGAACTAGTAACATTCGGATTTAGCCGCACGTCTCTCAAGACGGCTAACCCCGAATGATTCTAGTTCTAGGTCTTGTGTTAATTCTAGTGATATTGCTAGTGTACAACTAGAACTAACACTAGATCGAGAACTAGAAACATTCGGATTTAGCCGCACGTCTCTCAAGACGGCTAAACCCGAATGATTCTAGTTCTAGGTTTTGTGTTAATTCTAGTGATATTGCTAGTGTACAACTAGAACTAACACTAGACCTAGAACTAGAAACATTCGGATTTAGCCACACGTCTTTCAAGACGGCTAAACCCGAATGATTCTAGTTCTAGGTCAAGTGTTAATTCTAGTGATACTGCTAGTGCAAAACTAGAAGTAACACTAGACCGAGAACTAGAAACATTCGGATTTAGCCGTACGTCTCTTAAGACGGCTAAACCCGAATGATTCTAGTTCTAGGTCTTGTGTTAGTTCTAGTGATAATGCTAGTATAAAACTAGAACTAACACTATACCGAGAACTAGAAACATTCGGATTTAGCCGCACGTCTCTTAAGACGGCTAAACCCGAATGATTCTAGTTTTAGGTCTTGTGTTAATTGTAGTGATATTGCTAGTGCAAAACTAGAACTATCACTAGACCGAGAACTAGAAACATTCGGGTTTAGCCGCACGTCTCTCAAGACGGCTAAACCCGAATGATTCTACTTCTAGGTCTTGTGTTAATTCTAGTGATATTGCTAGTGTAAAACTAGAACTTGCACTAGAACTAGAAGCATTCGGATTTAGCTGCACGTCTCTCAAGACGGCTAAATCCGAATGATTCTAGTTCTAGGTCTTGTGTTAATTCTGGTGATATTGCTAGTGTACAACTAGAACTAACACTAGACCTAGAACTAGAAACATTCGGATTTAGCCGCACGTCTTTCAAGACGGCTAAACCCGAATGATTCTAGTTCTAGGTCTTGTGTTAGTTCTAGTGATAGTGCTAGTGTAAAACTAGAGTTCTAGGTCTAGTGTTAGTTCTAGTTTTAGTGCAATAAGAATATGCAACATAGTGATAAGGCAGTCCTCAATATTATTCACACAACATTATCTTGCTTTTCTTTTCTTACATCTTTCCCATCATGAATTGATTGACTTGAAGATTTTTGAGTATTAACTTTAATGTTTTTGACACCCGATTTGTTATTTGATTGTATTTTCAAGGTCTTTTCGAATATTTTTCATTAAATAATTCGTTTTAAATTTATGTTTCGGGATTCTAGGTTTATTATAATGTTTATAATTACAAGTTGACCTTTAAAACTTTCCTTGAGTTATTCATTTTCACTGTTTCGCATACACCAGGTATATAAAAAGCATTTACTTTTATGTAAAGTCATCGTTTTAGAAACGAACTCCCCTTTTCAAGGTTTTTCCATGCCTTCCCAATCTTTCGGTGCGTTCTGAACCATAACGTAACATATGATCACCATAACGTAACGCTATTCATGTTTTTATTCATATCTTTTTTATATTTACAAGTTCAAGTTTTTCTTTAAATTATTAACACATTGTTTAAAAGTAAATTTCTTTTGCTTCATTCCAATATAATTGCTTTAAAATATTCAAGAACAAAGTAGTTAATATCTAGAAGCAATGATTTAAATTACATTCATTAACTTAATTATAAGAATACTTTTTTTTGTGTTTTTTAGTGTCTCCGATGATGGTGGTTAAAAACCGGTTCATAAGGTCAAGAAAAAAATGGAAATGTAAGTTGGAGGAAGTGTAAAAATTACAAAACGATTAAACTTCGGAGAGCTTTCAAAGGTTTTATTGAGAAGAAAGCGGTTAAGAGGGAGTATTTATCGGTCAATCACTGTACAATTTCGACGAGATGTTATCTAGAACGGATGCCGGGGATACGCGGCGATAAACTTTAAACACCGACGAGAAGATACCGAAGGGAATAAGATGAAGGAGCGTTATTGTGAGTTGAGTCTAATTCATATTAATCGATATTGGTAATCCGTGGAATTTTTCGCGCACTTTGCGCAAGATAAACTCGCCCATGTTGACTTTATAATTAAAAACGAAATAACAAAAAAAAATCATCGAGATATGTAATGTAACTGTGTTGGTACAGTATCAATATTTATTTGCGGTATTAATGGGTGATGGGGGGGAATCTGCCTGAAACGGGATATCTTTCGAGTGACTGATAACTGCTCTCTCCTGGGATCTAATTTAATTTGATCGGTTGCGTAATTAGGTGAGTGTATGTACACAGAGAGAGCTTTAAACTTTAAATGGCCTACAGCGCGGGCGCGTCCATTTAAACTCGTTAAGTACTATTTAGTTCTCGATTTACGAAATGGCCTCGCGCGTTTTTGTTTACGTGGGAAAATTACGAAACGGTGCGAGACGTCGTCGTTGTTTACATACGACGCCACCAGTTGACTGACAACAACGGAATGTCTACGTCGGCGTAAAACTTTGCTAAAACATATGATACCGAGTTTAAGTAGAACAGCAAAAAGGCATATACGTTTCTATGCCACTTTTGTTCGCGGAATTTAACGCGATAAGCTTAATTTTTTTCGTTTCGTACAAAACAACTTTGGCAGTCAGCAACGTATTACCAAAGTTTTTTTTTTATTATACATAAATAAATTATACCAGTTCATATAACTCGCAATATATGAATGCAGTAACCATAGTTACTAAACTACTATGTACTTGCACTGTCCCATATAAAATGAAACATAGCTTAAAATGTCACTATGCCACTAGTGTCACCTCTAATTGTAGCTGTTATCCAGAGAGTAGAGTAACAATTAAAACTATACCTTTTACAGTATGATTTCACACTTATGAAATATGATTTCACACTAGCGAAAACAGATTTCATACAAATGAAATTTGATTTCACACTAACGAAAACAGAATTCACACAAATGAAATTTGATTTCACACTAGCGAAAACAGATTTCATACAAATGAAATTTGATTTCAAACCAATGAAAACAGATTTCACAATTAATAATTAATAATTAGATATTGGTTTCATTAATATTTAAATAAATATTTGGCAAATATCATTTTTAATTTTGAATGAAAATTATTTGACATTTTGTGACAATCATAAAAATATATCATAAGTTTTGATTTTACATTTGCAATGTCTCGTGTTAAATATAATAAAATATCAATTAGTGATAGAGAAAGAATTATAAAAGCACACGAAGAAGGCAAAGATTGGCGAGCTACAGCTACAGCTTTAGGAGTGAACGTTCGTACTGCTTATGAATGGTTGAAAAAAGATCAATCACTTCCAAAAAAGAAAGGTGGTAATGCTTCTTCCAAAAAGACCGCCGCAATTTCCGATGCATTGGTTAGATGGATTGAGGAAGATTCTACAATAACATTGAAAGGCTTATGTGATCATGTTAGCAATGAATTTCAAGTTAACGTTTGCCAAAACACAATGAAAAACTGGTTGGACGGGCAATTATTTTCACTTAAGGCACTAAGACCACAAATAGTAAATATGAATAATGAGGAAAACAAAGTCAAGCGTAAAGAGTATGTAAACCAAATATTACAAAGTCGAGCAAATGGTAGAACTCTTATTTGGATCGATGAAACAAATTTTAATTTATATTGTCGGCGAAAAGAAGGTAGATCCAAAATAGGTCATAAAGCACACGTAATTCTTCCGGCTTGTAAAGGAAGCAATTTACATTGCATTGGGGCAATGAGTGCGATGCGAATTATCTCATTTGAACATAGAAGAGGATCCTACAAAGCTCACGACTGTAAACAATGGCTGCGTCGCTTAATAGCAACTTGCACTGCGGATGGCATCGAGAAGCCAACATTTATTATTGATAATGCTCCTGTACATTCAAATCTTGAATCTGAACTTGAACCCGAAGAAGATATAGAAATAGTACGCCTTGCTCCATATTCTTATTTACTAAATCCGATTGAGTTGTTATGGAGTAGTTTCAAATCTTCCGTAAAAGTGCAAATGCAAGAAAGAATGCAAGAAATATTGAATTACAGACGCGTTAATAATCAAGGGTTAACACTTCATGAATATAGAATGCGCATCTTAGAAGAAATTTCAGATAGAGCAATTCAAGAAGTTCAACAACAACACTTACTAAGATATTCGAATCATGTAGAACGTTATTATGCAGCAGCACTACAACAAGAAAACATTCAAGAAATATAATTAATAATTTATTGGTTGCTAGATTGGTTGTTAAATTTAATTTAATAATTTTTTGTTATAAATAATGTTCTAATTAAATATTTAAATACTGTGAAATCTGTTTTCATTGGTTTGAAATAAAATTTCATTTGTATGAATTCTGTTTTCGTTAGTGTGAAATCATATTTCATTTGTATGAAATCTGTTTTCGTTAGTGAGAAATCAAATTTCATTTGTATGAAATCTGTTTTCGTTAGTGTGAAATCAAATTTCATTTGCATGTAATCTGTTTTCGCTAGTGCGAAATCAAATTTCATTTGCATGTAATCTGTTTTCGCTAGTGCGAAATCATATTTCATAAGTGTGAAATCATACTGTAAAAGGTATAGAACTAACACCAGACCTTGAACTAGAATCATTCGGATTTAGCCGCACGTCTCTTAAGACGGCTAAATCCGAATGCTTCTAGTTCTAGGTCTTGTGTTAGTTCTAGTGATAGTGCTAGTTGTAAAACTAGAAGCAACACTAGACCGAGAACTAGAAACATTTGGATTTAGCCGAACGTCTTTCAAGACGGCTAAACCCGAATGATTCTAGTCCTAGGTTTTGTATTAGTTCTAGTGATAGTGCTAGTGTAAAAGTGTTTAAAGCTGTGCTGGAAGATGATGTTGACCAAACAGAAATTTGTTATCTATCTTATGTCCGTACTAACCTCATTTTTTCAAGTGACATTTCTTGATCAGTGTGAATACCATATACAAGAAATATCATTTTCCACCTTTGATGACGACAACTTAAATTTGTCATACCTAGCCAGCAATAAAATACTCTCTACATACAACTATTTTTGGAGTTTTTACTCCATAATGGTGTTTCAGCTCAGTTTGATTCGTGTAGTGTCCCATCAAGTATAACAGTAGTATGATAAGTCTGACAAACTACCAAGAGCCATTATGTTAAAGTTTCTGTCTTGAATCTGCACTTTTCCAGAAAATTCCAAAGCAGGAATTCGAAAGAATTCCACAGAGCTTCAGATGATGAAGTGTAATTTCAATTTTTGATGCGGCAGTGAAGTTGAACCTTTAGACCAAGTGAAAGATTACAAAACAATAATGGTATCCAGACCTTTAAGTTTATTGGTACTTTGTACATATTCCTAATATTTTTTCATTTTTTGATTATCTTCTCAGATTCTGTATCTTATGCTTTGTTGCCAATCTAAAAATATAGTAGGAATTAACCTGTTGTTAGTAGAGGTGACGCCGTAGAGGGGAAAAAATCTTACAATTAGATATATCTAGTGATTGTAATTTAATGAGTACGTCTCCCAAGACGGCTAAAGCCGAATGATTCTAGTTCTAGGTCTTGTGTTAGTTCTAGTGATAGTGTTAGTGTAAAACTTTGTTGGCTGGGCCATACAGTCCTTCTCACCATTTAAATTTGCCCGTCCTCATGGTATTCTATCTGCGCTACCACAGTGATGTATCGCCGAATTACTACCACACCTACTACTGATATACAAAGGTTTCTTAGCATTCCGCTATGTTCCCTTATCCTGGAGAGAAGTAAAGGTAGTCTTCATCCCTAAACCTGGGAGGAGAGATTACACTGATCCAAAATCATATAGACCAATCAATCTTTCCTCGTTCGTCGGGAAGGCGCTTGAAAGGCTAGGTGAAAGATATATAAGAGAAACGACACTGGAAAGGTTTCCCCTGCACCCAAACCAGCATGCATACACTCCGGGAAGATCAACAGAAACGGCCCTACAAGATATCGTAGGAGTTATCGACAGATCTTTGGACTATAAAAAGTCCACTCTCGGAGTATTTATAGATATCGAAGGAGCCTTTGACAGGGCAGCTTTTCATACAATTAATAAAGCCCTTAGAGACAAAGGCGTCCAGCCCGCACTAACATACTGGATTCTAAATATGCTCTCAAAAAGGGCCGCCCACGAATCTCACCCTGGACAGCCTTGTTAGACAAATTTCATCTGAAAAATTCAATGTCTGCGCCTATGCAGACGATCTAGCCGTTTTGGTTCATGGGAAGTTCGAAAACGTCCTATGTGACCGAATGCAGGCTGGACTGAGAATAATCGAACGCTGGTGTCAAGACTATTCTCTGTCGGTAAACCCGAATAAAACAGAGATGGTTCTCTTCACAAGGAAAAGAAGGCTGGGTACCCTTAGAAAAAGTTCCAAAGTTCCCTTGCGCTTTGCCAATGAAGTGAAGTATCTGGGGTTAACTCTGGATAAAACGCTGACTTGGAGACCGCATATCGAAGGCTCGATGATAACCACACCAACAGCAGCAATGGGGAATGTACTGTGCTTTCCTCCTCTCAATTATCATGTTGAGGACGTGATGATAGCAACAATGATCCGGCTGCGAGCGGTATCGCTGTTCATCCTCGTTGCTTGAGGACTTCCATAATAATCTTTATGGGGCAGACGCTACTAATGAGATTACGATCTGCTGGAGAAAGGGTCATTCGGGAAATAAGCTTCATGACATGGTGGACAAACTGGCAAGGAAAGCTGCAGGCGAACCTCCGGGATCGCCGGAACCATTCATTGCCCCAACAATAAGGTCTTTAATAGAGCTTCAAAAAGAGGAAACACGTAAGAAGTTTCTAAACTACTGGGATAGGACACCAGGATGTCGCCAAGCCAAGGAGGCTCTAATGTACCCTGATCCTAAACGAACAGATTTATTTATGAGGCTGTCCAGGAAGAATCTACGTTTGGTTATAGGTCTAATCACTGGACACTGGCATATACAGAAGCTCTTACTAAACATGGCAATAAATGACACCGACATCTGCAGAGGATGCGGTGAGGAGGAGGAATCAGCGGAACACATTTTATGCGACTGCGTGGCCCTCCAAACATTAAGGTTATCCATTTTTGGAGATATCCAGATTAGCATGAGTGGAATCAGGACCAAGACACCAAGACAAATTCTAACCTTTGCCTCCAAGGTTATATGGCTGGAAGGACCCTAATGCTGACCAAATGAGGGAAGTAAATACAAGGTATCTGCTGAGGTCAAAGTGCTGCGGGCGATTCAGCCTAAAACTAGAACTTGCACTAGAACTAGAAGCATTCGGATTTAGCCGCACGTCTCTGAAGACGGCTAAACCCGAATGATTCTAGTTCTAGGTTTTGTGTTAGTTCTAGTGATATTGCTAGTGCAAAACTAGAACTAATACTAGACCGAGAACTAGAAACATTCGGATATAGCCGCACATCTCTCAAGACGGCTAAAGCCGAATGATTCTAGTTCTAGGTCTTGTGTAAATTCTAGTGATATTGCTAGTGCAAAATTAGAACTAACACTAGACCGAGAACTAGAAACATTCGGATTTAGCCGCACGTCTTTCAAGACGGCTAAACCTTAATGATTCTAGTTCTAGGTCTTGTGTTCGTTCTAGTGACAGTGATAGTGTAAAACTAGAAGCAACACTAGACCGAGAACTAGAAACATTCGGATTTAGCCGCACATCCCTCAAGATGGCTAAACCCGAATGATTCTAGTTCTAGGTCTTGTGTTAATTCTAGTGATATGGCTAGTGTAAAACTAGAACTTGCACTAGAACTAGAAGCATTCGGATTTAGCCGCACGTCTCTCAAGACGGCTAAACCCGAATGATTCTAGTTCTAATTCTAGGTCTTGTGTTAGTTCTAGTGACAGTGATAGTGTAAAACTAGAACCAACACTAGACCGAGAACTAGAAACATTCGGATTTAGCCGCGCATCTCTCAAGATGGCTAAACCCGAATGATTCTAGTTTTAGGTCTTGTGTTAATTCTAGTGATATTGCTAGTGCAAAACTAGAACTAACACTAGACTGAGAATTAGAAACATTCGGATTTAGCCGCACGTCTCTCAAGACGGCTAAACCCGAATGATTCTAGTTCTAGGTTTTTTGTTAGTTCTAGTGATATTGCTAGTGTAAAACTAGAACTAACACTAGACCTAGAACTAGAAAGTATCGGGTTTAGCCGCACGTATGTCAAGATTGCTAAACCTAAAAGTACGTCCTTTTTTATGTTTATTTAAAACGAAGGGTTTAGGTTCAAACTACATACAACGAAGGGTTTAATGTACAAGCAACCAGCTTCACACGTACGTTTCTCTGGGAATCCCTCATTTATGATGAATATTTGTGTTAGGTTAGGTGCTTATTTTAGTGTTCTGTATTTCATTCAGGTTACTATTTCTCCTGATTTTTCTACACCATAAATTTATAAGCAATTAATCCTACAACAGTACTCAAAATGGCTACAAAAAGACCTGCGAGGGAAATAAATTTAATTGCCAAACGTGCAAAGTCAGTTATGATTCTAGAAAAAAAGATTCAAATTCTTGATATGCTCCGGGAAGGGAAAAGAGCTACCGAATTAGGTCGGGTCTTTAAGAAGATCTATAAAGAAACAAGAAGATGTAATCAGAAATAGCGTACAAATCTTCGGACTGAAGACCTAGGCCGCAGAAATATACCATTAACCAGAGCTAGATTAATGGATAAAGCCAAGGAATTGTATCAACATTTTTCGGGTGATATGGATTGTGCAGAAAGTGACTGTAAATTTAAAGCAAGCAGGGAATGGTTCGAAAGATTCAAAACTCGTTTTAATCTCTATAGCATTAAGTTGTGTGGAGAATCAGTTTCAGCTGATCATGAGTAAGCTGCAAAATTTTCTGGTGAAATAATAAAATTAATAGAAGAAAAAGGTTACTGTCCTGAACAAGTATTTAATGCGGATGAAACAAATGTCAACAAGAACATACATTTCAAAAAATGAAAAGACAGCTCCTGGTTTTAAATCAGCTAAGGATAGAGTTACACTTTTATTTTGTGCAAATGCAATCGGAGACTTTATTACAAAACCACTGTTAATATATCGAGCAGCTAATCTACGAGCTTTAAAAACCAAGGAGAAAGAAACTCTTCCTGTCTATTGGCGAGCTAATTCAAAAGCTTGTATGACTTCTCAAGTATTTATAAAGAG